AAGCAACTAAAAGACGCTGCCTCCCCAGCCTGGTTCTGGTTCCCCTTGAGGCCCCACGAAGACGAAGACATATGCACCTCACAAGGCTGCTGGGAGACGGAAGGAGATGGTCTTTTTCAAAGTGCCTTCCATGCAGCCTGGCTTGGAGCAGACAGCCCAGGCAATGAACTAACTGCCACCAGGAAATGGCTGTGTCCTCACTGGTGCGGGAAGCGCACAGCGCTCTACTCACAGGTTGGTCAAGCTGTACCATCCCAGACTAGTTTCCCCTCCCCCTCAGAAAAATTATGATCACCCTTTTATTTTTTAAAAGATTTTATTTTTTATTTGTCAGAGAGAGCGAGCGAGCACGCACAAGCAGGGGGAGCAGCAGGCAGAGGCAGAGAGAGAAGCAGGCTCCCCGCTGAGCAAGGAGCCTGATGCAGGACTGATTCCAGGACCTGAGAAGAAGGCAGCGGCTCAACAGACTGGGCCACACAGGCGTCCCCACCCTACTTTTAGCAACAAGTCCTTAAATAATGGTTATTTAATTCTGCTACCTTGACCAGCAGAACAAAGCACTTCCAAGCACCCACAGGGCTCAGTGGAGGAAAAGATGGCTCCCAGCTGATGTCTGATGATGCCTCAACCCCGGAGTGGCCACAGGCCTGGGCTGGCACCACCTTCCCAGGTCTTGTGCAAGCCCAGAGGCTGAGTGACTGGTGTATGTGTAAGCACACCCCACCCCAGCCTAGGTCAGAGGGTCAGGGAGAAGCCCAGCCCCTGCTGGGTCCTTTGGCAGAATAACTGGGTTGTTCTCAGTGTTTTAAACTGGATCAGTTTACTATTTTGGTGGTATCCATCCCATCCTCCTCCCCTCACCCTTGCTAGTGACTAGGTTATCTTGACGACCAGAGTGAAGTGAGTTAAGAGGCTGATAGAAACAGATAACACTGGCAGGCAGCCCCACAGTCCAAAAACAGTAATGCTGGGAAAGGACCTCTGGCTTGTATCGAACTTGTTTTATAGGTGAGAGAAAGTGGTGACTGAGAAAACAACACGAGTGAGCCCGGAGGAGGGTACCTGAGGAGGGATGGACAATTATGAAGAGATCAAACTCCCAAAACTCCACCACAATTATTTTTAGTGACCCCTGTCATGTCACAAGCTTTCAGGAGCCACAGTGTTCTCATCTGCAAAATGGAAGAATCAAACTGCACTACCCAAAACTCACATGCATTCTGAAAATTTAAAAAAAAAAAAAATTAGAAAAGTTTATCTAATTGTATAAGTCCAGATACCTGTTAGGATCTAAAGAAAGCTCGGGGAGTTCTAGCTGTTAACAAACACACTAAAACTACAAACACAGGGGCGCCTGGGTGGCTCAGTGGGTTAAGCCTCTGCCTTCAGCTCAGGTCATGATCTCAGGGTCCTGGGATCGAGCCCCGCATCAGGCTCTCTGCTGAACGGGGAGTCTGCTTCCCTCTCTCTCTCTGCCTGCCTCTCTGCCTACTTGTGATCTCTCTGTCAAATAAATAAAAGTAAAAAAACAAAACAAACAAAAAAACTACAAACAGCGATTCACAACAAAAATAGAAATCCTCACTCACCAATGATTTCTGAAAGTAAAGAATTATTTGAATTCCTGGTCATCAAAAAGAAAAGAGCAACATCATTTCAAGCCCATCAGGTGGGTAAAAATTAAAGTCTAATAATACCCGGTGGTGGTAAATGAGGAAAAGGGACCCTCACCCACTGCTGGCAGTACACAATGGTAAAACTCGGACAGCATTCGATCAGCAAAACAGAAGACGCACACAGTTTACGACCCAGGAGTTAACTGGACTTCTCGGGCTTTTGCCCTAGAGAAACTCAGGAGTGCCTGAGAGATACCAGGATTTACTGCAGCGCTGCCTGCCCTGCCTGCCGTGAACAGTGAGAAAGTAAAAACAATCTGCCCCTCAGTAGACACTAGACCTCTGTGCATTAAGAATAATCCTCATAGGGGTGCCTGGGTGGCTCAGTGGGTTAGGCCTCTGCCTTCGGCTCAGGTCATGATCTCGGGGTCCTGGGATCGAGCCCCGCATCAGTCTCTCTGCTCAGCGGGGAGCCTGCTTCCCTCCCCCACCTCTGCCTGCCTCTCTGCCTACTTGTGATCTCCCTCTCGCTCTCTCTCAAATAAATAAAATCTTTAAAAAAAAAAAAAACCCTCATAAACAGAAGCGGGAAAGGATACGAATGGCATAATTACAGTTACATCTCTTTTACTAACATTGTTCAGGGACTGATACAAAGTAATAAAAGCACCCCCCCAAAACATGCAAAAGAATTACAAAGAGACAAGATAGGAGCTACCTGTCCCTCAGGAAGACCAGAAGCAGGTTCTGGGGTGGTCATGAGGCTTGCAGAGCAAACAAGCCAGTACTGGCCTCTGGCCAAGAGGAAATGTACTTCCTGGGAGCCCCAAAGAAGCCTAAGCTGTGTGAGCCCCAGATGGGGGAAGGGGGGTGGGGATGAGGCTGGAGGGTAAAAATGATACAGGTTAAGTCTAAATATATACGGGCATTTGATCCCTTGGTGGGATATGAACATGAACAGCCATGGAAAGACGCAGGATTTACTGCCCACCCACCCTTAGGCAGCTTCCAGAAATGTGCGCGGAGCTTAAACCAAGAGGTGATGAAGGACACGAGACCAGGTGTAGACACTGCTGGCTGCCTCCCAACATCTACTGAGTATAATACACACCTGCATGTGCCCAACTACATGCATCAACTTGTCAACCCCACCACCCCTCTGCACCTGAGGTTGAACCATATGAAAAGTGCCTGATTTACTTCCTTCTTCATCTAGAAAAATTCCCAGTTCTTACCATCTTTCACATTTTCCTTATGTCAAACTATTTAAAACAGGCAGCAGACACCATGAGCCCTTACTCGGAAAAAGCCTAGTCCTGTCCTCCCAAGGACAGGGATATTCCACACAACCACAACTCCGTAACACATTTAAGAAAATACCCAGCGGACGCCCCACAACTACCCTGAATGTGCTCTCCCTTAGTTGCTAATCCAACTGCCCAACAGGAATACAAAATATCTCTTACTCCTAAAATGTGCTCAACTTCCTACCCCCACGCCCAGGTCCTATAATTGAGGAACGAACCAACTGGTCTCCAAGAAAGGCCTCAATTCAAGCTGCTGAATCAGCAGCACGTGGACAGGTTCATGGGGCCAAAGAGCTTCCACCCTCACGCCCAACCGACCAGTCCAGAAAGAGATGTCCTGACCCACCAGCAGGGGAGTTATTGGAGCCAGGGCTGGGCTGGCTTGTGGAGCCCCCAGGTAAGGGATCTACACCTTTCCACTGCCGAATGGCAATACCCCAGCTCCGGGACAGATGCCCAAAAAGTTGTGAGCAGAAGCTTTCTCCAGGGCACCTTCAACTCTCTCTCTGGGAAAGCCACACAGGGTGTGGGTGTGTGTATGTGGGAGGGGGTACAGCTCAGCCCCTTTCTCTATAAAGTTCAAGGGCTCTAATCACCATCACCAGTGCCAAAAGGAAACAATTCTCAGGGTGCCTGTCTGGGTCAGTCAGTAGAGCATGTGACTCCTGATCTCATGGTTGTGAGTTCAAACCCCACGGTGGGCACTGAGCCTACTTAAAAACAAACAAAACAAAAAACCGAAACAATTCTCCATTATTTAAGGATGTTATGGAAGAAAAGCAGCCCTTACCCAACCAGACACCCTTCTAAACCTATTCACCTTATCATTCTGAATCTACAGAATCAACGGGATGAATGCATTCCAGCTGCATTTGTGTCTAGTGGAAGCACCTGAAGATCAGTTTTTCTAAGCAAACTAAAGAGGCCAGATCTCCATCTGAACCACTGGGTGTGAGGGACTGGTAGAGGATGTGGGGCCTGGGTTAGCATCCTTATTCTTGCACAGCCTGTTGGCTTCCTCAGTACCAGGGCAAGAGAACGACCTAGGCCCACGAAGGCAAATGCAATTCACATCTACCTGGGTGGCCTGCTGAGCCCCCACACTCTGTCACCCCTCTCTGCTACCCAGATGCTGCCTCTCCCAGGACTCCAGGGTCATCAGCGGAGGAAGAGGTGGTGCCCCAGGGACTCTGCCCTGCTTTCCCTTCTCCCAAACAGTCCTGGGCCTATGGAAGGCACAGTTTCCCTTCCAGGACCTCGAGAGGTAGGGAGTGGCATCTTCTCCTTCCACCCCAGCCTCCCAGGGAGAGGGCGACTAGGACTGTCAAGCCCTTTACCTAGTCTCCTAACCCCTCTGCTTAAATTTGTCCTCCCATCAGCGGGTTTAACTCATCCTGTGGCCTCCACCCTACTCCACCCAGTTCCAGGTTCCAGTTTTCTGGTTTCTATTTCCCGGGGCCCCCAAAATTGTGCATGTGGTTCTGTGTAGAAAGTTGTCCAAGCAAACCCTCTGGAATAACACCTGTAGGGAGACACTATTATTTCGGCAATTTCCTGAGGAAACTGAGGCCCCGAAGCTCACAGGGGGTTGGGGAGCTGGATTCCACGCGAAAGTCACCAGGATCCAAGCCAAGCGCTTCCCGCAAGCTCCTCCCCCGGAGCGCCCCCGCAAACTCCCCCGCTCCTCCCCCGCTTTTCCCAGGCCCGACCCCGGAGCCCGGAGGACCGTGGGGGTCGGGCTGAGCCCACCTGGGGTGGAGAACACAGCCCTAGGAGAGGGGGCCGGCGGGCGCCTGCTTTCTGGTCAGAGTCGGGGTGGGTGCCAGGCTGCCCGCTTGGGTTGTTTTTTGGCCTTTCTCTCCCCAACGACTTTTAGGAGCTTGCGAGCTGCCACCCCCTGCACGCCCCGCTGGGGCAGCCCGAGGGTCCCCCGCCTTCTCGCCCCCCACCCCCAGGGATGCCTCGGGACCGCGCCTGGGCCTGGCTGGGGGCGCAGAGGGGCCCCGGCCTGCCCGTCCCCCTCCAAGGTCACTTCCACCGCGGCCGTGCCGCGCCCGGGCCGCCCGTCCGCACTCACCGAGCCCCGCAGCCAAGAGCCTGGTACTGCAGCCTGCAAGGGAGCAGAAGCCGCCGCCACTGCCGGTGCCCGAGCAGCCGCCGTAGCTTCCCGGAGTCGGCCCCGGCGCCTATTTACCGCGCCCGGCCCCGCCCTGCGCGCCTGGCTGACTCGCCACGTGACGGCTGCGAGCCGGGGCCGGCCCCCCGCCCTCTGCCCTCCACCCTCCACCCCTCCACCCTCCCACCCTCCACCCCTCCACCCTCCCCGCTCCGCCCGGCCGCCGCCTCCGCTGCGGACTCTGCGCCAGCCTCTGCGTCGCTGGGGGTGGGCTCCCTGCCCGGGGAAAAGGGGCTCCGAGCCCTGTGGGCGGCCTGCCTTCCCGATGGGGGCCAGAAGCGGAGGGGAGATGAAGGTGGCCCTAAGGGCTTCCATCCAGCCGGGAGAAATTCCCCAGGGGCCGCCGCCTCCTGAAAGCAGCCATTCAAAGCCGGATGGATCCCTTCTTGGAGGAGGGGATGACTGTCCCTATTTCATTCATTCGGAAACCACTGAGTTGGGGGTATCATGATAGCAGGTATCCCAGAAGAACCTGAACAGCCTCCTTTAGATATTCTGAGAACATGCCTATAAGGTCCTCTAGTTTTGTAATAATAAGTGGGTATGAATTTCAGGACCTGCGTCAGGGTGTCTATAGAGAAGTGTCTTAGGGGCAGAAATCTGTTTGGAAGAGGTGTGCCAGACCTGTCCTAAAGGGGACACGCACAGCAAATACACTATTTTCCCTGGAGTTTGTTCGGAGAGTGGCTAGGCAGGCTGATGGAGACGGTGGTGTGCCTCAAGACCTTGATGCATCCCCAGGTTTCTGATCCTTCTGACAACTTTGCAACCTAGGTATGATCCCAGTTTTACTCGAGAGGCTCAGGAAAAGTCTAGGATTTTATCTAGGTGCTCCTGGTAATAAGAAAGCTGTAGGTCTGGTGGATTCCAAGAGGTTCCAGGTGATGTATTTTTTGAGTAGTGCTCCAGCTAAGAAGGAATTTTTCAAAAGTCTTTAGCGCAAAGAAATTATTTTATTAAAGCAGGGGAACAAGACCCATGGGCAGAAAGAACTGCTGCCCCAGGGTTGTTAGTTGCAACTGACAATATACTTTGGGGTTGGGGGAAGTAAAGAAAAGGGAAGTTCCAAAGAACTTTCGTAGGCTAAAGAAGACTCACAAGGTCTTGGAGGTCTTGCTATTGCCAAGCAAAGGTTGTTTTCCCCCTCTAGCAAAGCATTAAGACGGTTAGGAGCTTCCTGGAGGAATGTTATAGTCTGAGGATCTCAAGTATTTGTCAATATGGGCTGCAGGTTATAAGGACATTTAATTTTTTTCTACAATTCCTTCTGCCTTTGTTTCCCCTATTATAGGCTGCTCTCTGCTGCGTCTTGCAGCTAGCTATTACACAGTCCCTGTGCCTGCCAGGGCACATCAGAGAGCTAGTTAGACACATGTACTTATACCCGTTTGGTCCCAATTAAAGAAAGGAGTGGAAGCAAGGAAGTCTCAGAATCTGCCCATGGTTACTAAACCCTCAACTGAGTGGGTTAGCTGAGGAGCTCGCAAGTGGGGAAGAAGGCTGCAGGTCACGATGGTCCCAGCTGCAAGCTCACCCAGTCATATCTTGAGAACCGTGGACTCTAGACTGCAAATCAGTGTTTTGACATTTCATCTCCCGCATGGTGTCAGTCATTTACAGACCCCGTAATGGTGCTCATAAAAGGAAACCCCAGTGGGGAAGACACACAGAGGACCATGGTCAAAATCTCCTCATCATAATAGGAGGGCTAAGTACATTTATCGCCTTTTTATGAAATTTTGAATGAGTGCCATTGGAGAGTGAGAAGTCATGTTTTTGAAATAAAAGAAATAAACAAGTACTGTTTGAGTAGAATTTAACCCTTCCTGCTGCATCTAGGACGGCTTCATGGAGAAAGGAACACACTGTATAACTGACTTGTTTATTCTCCTCAATGCCCTCACTGGATCTTAAACTCCATGAGGATAAGCATTTTTGCCTATAGTTAAAAAGAAAGCCACAGGCCCAGGGAAGAGTTGTAATAGGATTGTGGGGATACTTGTCTCTCAGAGTTAAAGAATGAATCTTGTGGACACAAAAGGGTGAAGTGAAGCGAAAGTTTATTAAATGAAGGAGAGAGCAAAAAGGAAAGAAAAAAATCTTTCTACAGTGACAGGGGTCCCGAATGGGCTGCCACTGGGCGCTTTTACTGGCAGTTTTTTACTGAGAACTGACAGGAAGCTTGTAGCCTTGAAATTCTTATGCCAGCTTGATTTGAGCAAGGACTAATGATAATACCCTTAGTGGCTCACTTCTTTGAGGTCTGGTCATTTTCTGTGATTACAGTATAGCTGTCAAAAAAACACACAAAAAAAAACACAAAAAAACACCAAAAAAACCCCCCAAACTCCCTGACATTCAAGACCAGGTGGTCTGATGTGTTCCCTTATCTCTGGTTTTGTCCACCTCAGCATTTCTCCACATTGGGGTTTCTGTGAGCCTATTTGGGATTTCTGTGAGCCTGGTCACGTAGCCCCCTGTGTAAGCCTAGTCAGGGGAGTCACGGGCCTCCTATCTTTCCCTGCCTATACCCTCTTTTCCTCAGAGTCACTTGCCCCCAGGACAGCAAACCAAGACTTACCTGCAGTTTCTGTCTTCCCAAGAATGGAATTTTAAGCGAATGAATCCAGAATTTCTGGTCAGCACCAATGAGGTAATCCATCACATGGGTCCTTTCCATCCCCCCACTCCCTAAGGAAAATGGCATGACCCTCTGCCCTTTTGGCTAAGGGAAGGTAACCTCACCGGACCAGTCCTTTCTTTGGCTAGTAACTTTTTGCCCCAACCTCTCTCCCATAAAAACCTTCCATTTTGTACAACTCCTCAGAGTTCCCCTTATTTGCCAGATGTGGGATGCTAGTCAATTCATAAATTGCTTAATAAAGCTCATTAGATCTTCACATTAACTTGGCTGAATTTTGCTTTCAAATGCTATGCTGTTATTTTCACATCCCCAGCATGTAGCAGAGAGCGTGGCACCTTGTATAGAACAAATAAACATTTACTGAGTGAATGTGTCCCGTGCATGAAGTGGGCCTTGAAGGTTGAGTAGAATTTCAGCTTAACCTGCTAGGTCTGAGGTCAGGGGCTCAGGGAATACTCCTCAGAGCTTACGGAAGGACCTGAGCCTGTATATGCTGAAGCCATTTGCCTGCTGAACTTCTGGAAAAGAGGCCTAGGTATATACTCAAAAGAGATGAAAACCTCTGTCTTCACAAAAACTTGTACTGAGATGCTCATTGCAGCCTTCACAGGATCATCAACTGTTACAGGATTTATTTCTCCTTCGGTGTCCGCGGATCTTGGTCACGCCACTTTGAAGAATGAAGAAGTTAGACCAGAGTGGTGGGCAGCAAAACAAGGTTTACTGAGCCCTATCAGGAAGCTCCCAGAGTGGGAGGGGACCCGAGAGGGTTGCCACCACCTTCTCTGACTCTAGGGGTTTTTATGGGATTGTGGGAGGGCCATTTCAATCTGATTTACCCTCCCTGTGCCTGTCGTCCAGTCAGGCTTTTGTCATCTATCTATTCCGTAGAAAATGGTGGAGGGTTCCCTCCAGGGTGAGTGTAAAAATCCTTTTAAGGGGAGAGGTGTTTGTCCCTGCCTGCCTGTCTTCCAATTATCCTTCATCAAAAAGATGGAAAAGCCCAATGTCCACCACTGATGAACAAAATGTCCTATACCCATGCAATGGAACATTTTTCATTCATAAAAAGGAATGAAATACTTGGGCATGCTCCAACATGGATAAAACAAACATTTATTGTAAGTGAAAGAAACCAGCACTCAGATACCTGACCAGCTGAAGCCAGGGAATTGATGATACTGACCCTTGCTGGCCCTGGTGACTTTGACCTAGACTCGGGCACCATACGATGACTTTGCCCCAACCCCAAGCTGTATGCGTATTGCACCAGGCCCTTCATGAATATGTATGCACCCTTTGCTTAAAACTGCCTGGTTCCACTGTGGTTCAGGAAGACACTGCCTCAGGAAGGATCCCAGCTGTTCTTCTGCACTTGGTGCAAGCAAAACCCTTCCTTTTTCTAGTCTTTGGCTTGTTGTATCTTTTGGCTCAACATCCACCAAGAGGCGAGCCCAGTTTCCGGGAAGCGTTTTAGCAGCAGTCAGTTCTTCCTCCCAGGTGTGGACCCAATAGTGACATTTGACGAATGAATCCCCTCTTGACCTTCTCTTTCCTCCTGATTAGCACTGGAACCCGGAAGTTCAGATTTACCTTCAGGCTTCGGGTTGCAAGGACATTACAAGGTCCGACCAACCGTCCTATCCAAACTGATTTAAAACGACAGCAGCAGGACAAGAAGGTTCTAGATCCAAGGCAAAACTGGGACAACACGGAGCTGTAGTCACGGTCCCCAAAGGAATAGGATAGTATTGAACACAACAGAACAAGTTAACTCCTTTTTCTTTTTGACAATCTGGCCAAAGACCAGAGGAAGGGGAATTAAAAAACAATAATTGATCATCTATTATATAATATGTACCTTGTAAAGGATATTCTCTACCTGGGACGTGGGAAAATTCCCTCCATTCTACAGATGAAGGACAAGGGACGCAAAAGACATATTGGGGCAATGTATTAGGGGTAGAGCATCTCATAACACAGCCTCAGGCTTGCTCCAGCTTCATCAGGCGAGAGGAGTGGCCACCACTCACACACCTGCGGGTCAGAGCATCATCAGTGATGGGATTTCACGAAGGGACAGAGGGTTTGTTTTTGTTTTTATTCCGGCCAAGGTCTTGTGTCCTCAGGAGATTGCTGCTGAAATGCACACAGGTAACCTGGAGAAATAAGTACCCAGGGTCCCCTGGAGCATTTTGGACTAAGAATTGCTCTCCCTTTGCTGGGGCTCCGCTGTGGGCCAAGTGTCCCTCTGTCAGGGGGTTGGGGACAGGAAGGAAAGGCGGTTCCCTTCCCTGCCTGCT